TCGGCGGCATGCAGAGTGTTTCCGTAGAACTGGAATCGAGGCTGGAAGTGATGATGGCCAGCGCCGTCCCGCTCAACTTGTCCGGCGGCCCTCGCTAGGAGCGAGATATCAGGACCACTTTGGCTGCCGGCGGAGCTGCGGGAATGGCTGTAAGGGTTAAGACCCGAGGGAGCAAAGTTGTAAGGGCTGTAAGAGTGGTGAGGGGGAGACACGTTGGGAGAGGACATGGCAGTAGGGGGCGCAGAGCGGATAGCCTTGGGGCCGGGGGGAGGCATCATGTCGGGCTGTAACCCGTGGCTGTGAACAAGGGGATGCTGCTGCTGGCCCTTGTTTCCCCTCCGCGAGTTGGGATTGCTGTGTATCCTCGAGTGCCGAGTCAGCTCGTCCGAACGCGAGAACTTCTTGCTACACCCCGGGAACTGGCACGCGTGCGGCTTCTCTCCTGTGTGTGTGCGAATGTGTCTTGTCTGATGCTCGAGGCGGTGGAAAGCCTTGTCACACAGAGGGCACTTATAGGGACGTGGGAGCTCGTTGGCGGGCTCGGTAGGTTGGGCACCAGGCAGGGGCCCGTTGGGGCGCAACAAACCGACTGTGGCCATGTCTGCTTCGGGCTGTTGGTGTTGCTGTTGTGGTTGTGCGGGTTGTTGTCTTGGAGAACCGCTGTGATCTCTCTTCTCGGCCGTTGATTCCGATGGATTCAGCAGATTGGAAAAATCTACTGCTGACTGTACGCGTTGCATGTGATCCGCCTCCTCTTGGGACCTAGTTGTCCCAATTAACGTCCTGGGGATGTGGTATTTGTGGTCTTCCAATTGAGCTGTTGCGCTCGCTTGCGTGTGCAGCTGCTCAGGAGAAGGATGAGGGAAAAGGTCGCCAGAGGTTTTTGACAGAAATCCCTCTTTTTCCTCCTCGCTCGTTTTTCGCTAGGTAGTTGTTTGCTGGCGCCGACGACTCCGAAATCCGGTAGTAAAAAAATTGACGATGCTCTTGTCAAGGGATCGTAGATCGGAAGGTTGGTGTGGAGATCGGAGTTGGTGTTTGTTGGTGTTGGTTCGTATGTCGCTGTGTGTTATCTTGATAAGGTCAAGTGCCGTCTGTTGTGCAGGCGCGGGTTGAAGGCGATGTGGGTGATTGTTGGGGAACGTTGAGTGGTATGGGGAAGTAGTGACGAAAAACGGCGGGAGGAGATTATTTGGGGGAGCCGCACTGGTTTAAATGGGGGATGGGCGGTCTGACAGCCGGACTGACATGGGGCAACAGGCGGGCATGTGTGGACAGTGGGACAGGCCAGTGAAGGTGTGGAGTGGGCGGGTGGACGTAGCGACGACTCAGCGAGGCAGAAACACCTGGAGGACGGGCACAGATTTGCGGGCATAAACAGGCAGAGTGACTGGCGACTGGGCTGGAGGGATGCCAGGGGGAAGAAGGGGAACCTGGAAGGTGCAGGTGCCCAGTGGAGGGGGATCTGAGCTGTTATGATCGGTACCCGTACGTGGTAATGTTTTAGATACGCGAAAGATTGTAAGATACGTAACTGACAACTCTCACCACCAACACTGCTCGCTACTAACCGCTTTGAGTAATGCCCAAGCGATGTGGACCTCTTCTACATAGTACGTGTACTCCCCAGATATTAAGCAGAAGTTCAACACATCCGGATCACGCTTCTTTGACATGTGTTCCTACGTCGAGTCGACTTGGAGAAATGCGATACAGAAGACTTAAACAGTACATATGCCATGGTATTTGTACAATCCGATACGAAAGCAGTGAATGCGGCGCTGGAGTAACTTAATGTAGGTACCTTGTAACCTTGCTCGCCTATCCTGCAGCCCGCCCCTCCAAACTCCATGAGGGGGGGCTCTTGCAAATTTGGCCGGTGTGCCAGGAAGGCGCGGCAGGTGTAGCGCTGGGGTGCGTGGGTTGACGTTGTGGGTTCAGACTTTGCTGCTTGGAAAATTACACGATATTACGCCTTGGACAAGTACCGACCGTACAGGTACACCTGGCAGTCAGTCGTCGCTTGAATCTCTGGATGGCGTGCAGCCAAGCTCGCAGCCAGGACATTCTTCCACACACGCTTTGAATGTCAATAGCTTTCCCTCTTTTTTTGTATCATGCCCTACCTGCCTCTCAGTTGATCGGAAAAGGGGGCTTGTATGTATGGCATGGTCGGCTGATAAACAGATCCGGGGGGCCGCGGGGGAAACTCTGGATGGGCATGGAGAAAATGGTGGGGTGAAGTGGAAATCCGAGCAGGTAACAGACGCCGACCCCATGATAAGGCTTGCGTTGGTGGGAAAATGGCAAAAAGGGCGTTTGCGAAATAGTTTCTCCCTAGGTATGCTCCATCTTGGCGCCAGTCCTAGTGTAAGAGGTTGTGCCGCTTCTATTTGACCCTTTCGTCCATGGATCACCGCAAGCAAGACACGCTGGCTGGCTGGGCATGGCTTGGAACCTCTTTGACTTTGCCTGAAACTGGAAGCTCGAGACAGAGTGAATGGCTACGTGAAGGCTTTCTAACCTTGCATAAAAAGGGTCATAGGCCGGCATACGTCGAGGCTTCTCTCCTGGAGCGAAGCCAGCATCATGCCAAAAGACATTTTGTGCAAGCTGCTTGGAGGAGACGCTACGAATCAGGCCGATCAGAAAGGGCTTGGGGGCGGTGAAGACGGTGGCTGAGCTTCCACATTGCCGTAAGATGAGATTCATTATCGAACGGGAGTTGGGCGTTGTCAAGTCCCAGCTAGCTGTCAATATTCAGCTTCTCGTCTCTTTTTGCTTGTGCTTCCACCTCAAAGAAAATCTCTTTTTCGGGCTCACTCGTCGGGTTGGGCGACCAAATTTGTCCAAAACGTAAGTCGACACATCACAATCCCGACTTGCTCGTCACTCCCCGCCAGTATGTTGAGGGGAGCACAACAGGACGCGGGCCAAGACAGTTGTTGCACTTTTGAGAGACAGATACTTGATGGCTTCCTTTTCCGGTCACGACGAGAAAGCCTCCTCTTCTCGAGAGAACCATACACGTGTTGGGCGGTAGCCGTCGACAAGGTGGTGGATGACCTTGTGCTTTTGTGTGTGCCTGTCTGGGCTGCCTTGTCTTGCAAGACCGTCAGATACAGAGACAATCGCGTCATGAGGACCACTGTTCTCGCCAGTTTCTGGCGTCTACTCCCCCTCATCCGCTGTAGGCACGGCAGATCTCGAGGGCCCCGGCCCATAGTCTAATCACGTCAAACCCGCCTGGCATTAAGTTGAGTTTAAAGTTTGGCGCTTTATCCATACGAGGAAGGAGTTGAGGCTTTTTGCATGTGGGGGCTGGCTCGGTCATGATGGATCTGCTTGTGAGCTCCTCGGAAGGGCGACCGCCTAGTGTAGCACAAAACCATCATGGTGCCAGACATATCTCGTTCAGTTCCCCATGTTTTGGGGGTGGAGGACGCTCCACAGAACGACCGACCTGACAAAAATGTGAAATCATGCTCTCGGCAGAGACCCTCGCCCAGCCAGCGGACAGGCAAAAAAGAGAAAAAAAACAGACAGGGAAAGACGTGGGACGTGGCCCTAGACAGGCGCGCCCCGAGGGGTGGCGCCAACAGAGATAAGACTTCCATGCCCAAATCCCAAAGCGTAAAGCGTGGAGGGCCCCAGATTGTGGGGAGGCCAGCCGCTTTCGTTAGCCGCAGCCTGGGGTTTTGCTCATCAAGGTACATACACTTGGACTCTGTCTCCTTGTGGTTTGCTCCGAGACATCCCGACGTCCTCCAGAGTCAGACGGTCTGCCGGCCGGTGAGAGTGTCTGCCCTGTTTTGCTTGTTTCTACACTTTGTTGGCTCGGAGAGATGCCGTGAAAGGTGAACATTGCAGTCAAGAATCCCCTTTGTCTCTCTGTCGCCCAAACCAACATTCACTGTGATGTGCAACCAGGTACGATGAGGGCAAAAAGCTGGAGAAGAATGCCCAGACGGGCGCGGATCCAAGAGCCTTATCTCAGCCGAAACCTGGGGTAAGTTTCTTTTAGGCTCCAATGATAAGCGCGCCACTTCACTTTCCGGACTGTCCAAAAAGAGGTGAAGGAGCGAGATTGGCTGCGCCTACCTCGGTGAGACTTTGGCGAGCCTCAGGCCGGGGTTAAGAGACCAAATCGAGACAGGTTGTTGTTCCAAAACGCTTTTGTCTTGTCGACGGCGAGGTGCTTCACAGGGTCGGCCGGGGTTTGCTTCAGGTGGTCGTCGGAGGTCGGGGTAACGGACAGCACGGGGCCCTCGCCTACGATCAAGTGCTACGGTACCGAGTCTTGGGATTGTTGCTCGGCCAAAAGTCCCCCGTTTCCTCCGCCTCTTCGGATGATGGCGCCTCTTCGGATGATGGCGCCATTACACGCCTTGTCACTGTAACAAAGCGAGCGACGACGTGGGGGTTTCGGTCATACACTCGACCTGTTCAAGCGTTATCATTTCAATTTCACGCCATCCATCACTGACTACCACCCACCACAATATCCGACAGCCGAAACCACCAACGACCCGGATCGGAACCAGTTCCTGTCTGTCTCTCTTGAAAACCCGTTCACGGGTTCATAGATTGTGTTTCAGTCTCCTGGCGCTGTTGACGCAATGAACACGAGCAGCAATACTGTCCCGTTTTAAAGTGTTGGTATCCACAAAGTCCCCACGGGGTTCAGGCACATGGAAAGCTTTACTCCGTCATCGATATAACGCTAGCCTGAATAGGAAGCTTTTCTCCTAGGCCTAGGTCAACACATGCAGAGCCAAAACTCTAAGTCAGATGGGTCGTGGGAGTCGTGATCATCATCCTGTGGACAGCGTTGGGATTGAATCGAAGTCTCATGTAATTGAGTGCCAGAACATGAGGCTTGACTTGTTGTGCTGTAGAGGTCTTAGTGATGAGGCTCCGTTGCGTCTGTTCGAGTCGCAAATACGGGGTCTCCGGATCTCCGTACTCCAGGTTCTGGGGAAGCGGGATGCTCGGCATCTGAATCATGGGGAGAGCCAAAGCTCACTTCACCGAGATTTTGAAGATATCAGGCTACAGAACCTGTCGCATTCTCTTCACCGTGTCGGACAGCCGTCTCCCCGGTAGGCTGTTTGCGATGAGTTTTTCTTTCCGTCGGTACCGTATCGGTCTGATACGACAAGGGTAACCGTTCCAGCCAAAGGTGAGCGACAGGAACGACAGCTTTCCCCGGAAAGATTGCGGTGAATTTGCGGAGAGTCATTTTCCGCCCACAGCTGAAAATGTGAAAGGAAGAAAAGGAAGATACCGCCAGCGCGAGTCATTGGTCTGTTTGACCGACTCCAGACCGAGTCTGGGGTGGACGGTATGGGGCGGTATCGTGAAAAGGTTTGCCAAGAGCCTCCACAGAAAGGCCGAATAAATACCTGGAGTTTCCCCGAAGCACCGCGGCAGAGGCGAAAGAAACAAGAAGAAGAAAAAGACAAAGACCGACGGACGTAGGGAGCGAAAAGTGCAAGGAACGAGCAACTCGGGTAGAAGGCATAGCCGAAAGGCTTTTCGAGAAGAAAAAAACCTTTCCTGCAATTTGGATTTTTATGTCATGATTCCCATAAGTCTCCTCCGCGATTGCCGCACTCTGGCAAAGAGGAATTGTGGTACTCGATGGTTCGCTCCGCCAGGATACCAGCTGTTGTCGTAGGGCTTCAGAAGAAAGCGACGACATGGTCGGTCGTGCGATACGCATTTACCCGACGGGTCCGCAGTTGCTGTTTCCTAGACCGTTCGCCCTCAAACTCGAGTGCATGCTGTTTGTAGAAGAAAGGAAGCCCTGAAAGAGAGCGCTGGGGCCACCTGCTACAGGCGGTCGTAATGTCCCCAATGACATTCCGGGTTTTGGCCGGGTATACGTGTATGGCGCAATACGGTGAGCCGCGCATCTCATAGGATACGTTGCGGTATCAAAGGGTAAGATACGAGCTCGTATTTCTGTATGGTATCGTACATACAGCCTCGCAGATGCCTCTTACAAGGTCGGTACACGTGTCTGGAGCATTGGCTGTCCAAAGTCCATCTCCCTCCAGTTATCGTATCCACCGTCCCGGACACATCTCCACGGACAAGCTTTTTAGCTTCAGTCGTGCATTCCTGCTGCTCCCCTTGTCGTTCCCCAATTTGTTGATATCAAAAACACAAAGCGCCGAGTTGCACCGAGCAAAGCTTGGCCAACCGTCGTGAGTTTGAGCACTTTTGACACATTTACAAATCGTTTGGAACAGCCAATGCCGCCGAGTGGTTGGCATCAGGTCTGGGTCAATTGTTTGCCCGCCATGCATCGTGCCCGTGCATGCAAAACAGGTACGTTCCTTTCAGGAGTCGCTCAGGAGAAGCCAAGGTGAGGTGATCATCTTGGATCCAGCAAGTGGAGACGCAAGAAATTGCGGCGACGATCCGGGGGTTGAGTTGACCCTTATCATCTATCCTTTGATGCTGCGTGTATAGCTGATGATGGGCCGATTTCAAAACACTTGGCGAGCGAGCGGGGAGTTGGGGAAAAATAGATGATGCCCCTCCGATCACATGAAAGGCTACTCACATCTCAATTGAGAACTTGTGATGATTCTGGGATTGGGGGTCGGTGTGCTGAAATTTGGGGGATGTGCCCCCTAGGCCAGAAAAGGAAGACAGGTGGAATTCCGTCCCTTTTCTCCGAACGGTAATCGCCGCCGGTGATGTCGGTGATGTCAACCCGGCTTCTCATCCCTGGGCAAATTTCCACATTTCTTTGCGCCAAGGAAACATCACCAACTGTCACATTCACTACCTTCGCGCTTTCAACTCTTCTGAACAAACCCGAGGCTTCACCACATTGGATCAATGCCGTGTCCGTGAGTTGATCCGACATGTGGAAGCGCATTTACAAGAAGCGGCACCAGTTCATCAAGAACGCCTTTGAACGTAGTTAATAGCGGATAGGAACTGAACCGAACGTAAGACAAAGGGCCCCCCACGTTCGAACCACACAAATCACAACTGCAGCTGCTTCACGGCACCCTATTTGGGTTACTGTAGGACAGGGGTCGCAGACCCGGGGCCCGGGCGCCTTTTCCGACAAGCGTCACTGTCAAGGACCTGTCAGGGACATCCAAAGGGAGAGCGCTCCGAAGATGCAGAAAGGATCGTGAGCTCATCAGTGAGTGCATTCGAACCAACCAGCTGGCAACAAGCCATCATTTCACTTTGTGAGATGTTACTGAAACACCACCCGAGAGCTCTGAACTCTTACCATCTGTCTGCAATGCTTTATCAGTTTGGTTCGTTCGTTCGCTACCCATCTTGGCTAAACGTGTTGTCAGGCAAGTGAGAGAGAGTCCGCATGTTCTGGAGGAACTCCTCCGCTATGTGATGGACTTGATACCTTGATGTGGCACCCGGACATCTTCCGGCTAACAAATGATGAGTTCGTGCTCATGGTGTTTGTGGTATCGTTCAGCGTCGACGAAGACTCCTGATCGCGGTGGCTCATCGTACCGGAAGCCGCGAATATCAGCTGAATATATCACTCGACTTCAGATTTCGATGATGGCAAAAACTAAGAACAGTATTCAAAGGAAAAGAACACTGGATGGACAATGTTCGATGGCATCCAATAGACTTTACTAGACCCTCATTCGGGTAAGACTTGGCTTAGGCTTTGGTCCAAACTAACGACTTAACCAGAAGGCACTTCAACGACTCATGAACCTAGGGGACAAAATGATTCCCCATGTCACATGCCCCTTTCTTCATCAACACCAAAATTCCCATGTGGAGATCTCTCATCTTTCTTTGACGACGTCCTTGTCAGGGGCCTCGGGATCAGACTGCGAGATATGTACGTACCGTAGGGTCCAGACGAGGAGCCTCATCTTCTCACGGTCTCTCGCACAGTCCTCCCTCTCCTGTTGTCTTCGAGGCTCTTCGGGATTCGGCCTGACCACCCGGGCGGTATTGAGTAGGACTATAATACGCATTTCTGTACCAAACAGTTGCATGTGTCACGCAGTTACAAGACGCTAAAAGACTGACAGACAGTAAAAGAAAGGATTGAGGCCAGGAAAGAAACACACCGTAACAGACAGGACAGGGTTCAAGTGTTCACCGTTCGTTACCGTTCCTCCGCATGTACACGTACCGAGGAGCCTCGTGCCTCCGGGGAAGGTCGAACGAGAAGAGCGGGCGAACGGCTTCCCCGGACCCCACGGGGAGAGAAATGAGCTGGCTTTGCCTCTACAAGCATAGTTCACTTCTCCTTAATTTCCCCATTAGGGATAATGCTGATCTCAACCCCACAACATGAGCAAGGGATGAGCCTCAATCCCACCAGGGTTGACTTTGGGGAGGGTTACTGCGTACGAGGTGGGATACCGGGAAACACCATCCGTCCTCCTCATCGTCATTTTCAAGACAGTACGCGGGGAGCAACTTTGCCCTTGCTTCGCTTCGCGAGAAGCGAGAAGCTCATTCTTTGGGCTTACCACAAAGGGGGGCAAAAGGGGCTCGCTCGCTAGAATGTTCTTCTTCATTCTTTTCTTCTTCTCCAAGGTAAGGGGGTGTTAGGCGATTCTCGGTTGGCACAGACGATTTTCGAAGCCCGATGGCCAAATAATTGGTAATCATCAAACGAGACAAGAAAAAGAGCACGTAAAATAATGACCGGATTGGAATAAAAAACCACAAGCAGTGCAGCTCGGGCGGGAAGACTCCGAGTAATGAGCGACAGATGGTCGGACATGTGGGTGGGATGCCGAGTTCAAGATTTCAGGGCGACGGGAAATCATTTGTTATGGCGTCAATTGATGGGATTATTCCGTGGTGTTCAACATGGGAATTTTACGAGCAAATCGAGATCTTCCGAACACCAAGACGTGACTTGCATGGCTTGGGACTTGGCTCCTCGTAAGCTCGTTTCCTGGGCTGTCTGTGGTCTCGGTGCTCACATGCGGATGAAATCCAGCCTGTGAATCGCTTCCCACCAAGGAAGTGCCGATGTCGAGCGTTACTAAACGTGCTGGGCTGTCGTGTTGAACCATCTGAGCCATATCTATAATTATCGTGGACTATTGTGATGGGCGATAGGCTTCGTTGGATCTACCGATTTGTCGAGGTCGAAGGACGTCATACCTGCGACTGATCGTGGGATTATCAGCTGAAGATGGTTGTGATTGTTCTGGTTCGACGACCAACGGACCGAAAAGAAAACTTAGAAATTTTCCATCACGGAGTGTTGTATGGAAACGAACGGTGTGTTCGTAACAGTGCGTATCGATTAGATAATCACTTTTGCTGTCTGCCAATGCTGTCAAGGAAAAGAGCCGGACCTGGCGTGCCTGGTTGCCTGGAGCGTGCCTGCACATGCACGTGGCTGGCTGTGAATGCGTCTTTGTCACTTTCCCATCCTGTCATCCCAATCCGCCATTACCGTAACGGTACGTACCGTTCCTTTCAGCCTTTCCCCGCGGGATGTGCACCGGCATCTCCAAACAATCTTGGACTTGGCATCTCCAACATCGCGACAATTCCCTAACCACTGACGTCGACCAAGCCAGCAAGACCAAGGTGGCCCAGCTACCTACCTTTGCGTAGTCGCGACCCTTCCCCGCGCTCCGGCCGGAACACCGACGATCATCGAGTCCCTCCCCCGGATCTGCACCAAGTGCCCTTTAGCCGCCTTACGGCGAGCACTACAGTAGCAGCCGACGCCGAGCCCTGGAAGTGACCGCAACTCCGAGGAACAACGGAGACCGCTTATTCTCCGCTTCCGATTTCTGGGGTAGACGGGGCCGTTACATCCCCCGGACTGGAGTGTCCCGTCGCCGCCCGGTCCAGAACTCGTCAAGCAAGATGGACTACCACGAAAGACATAGCCATGATGTCGCCAGCTTTGATGATCTCCCTTCAACACGTGAGATGTCCTGATGTCCATCCACGTGAATTCACAATCGCTGACGTATTCCGTGAAGATCGCATGCCTACCGTTTCCGCTACCGATGTCTTGGATGACCTGAACAATGGAGATAACTCGCCCTTTATCTCTACCGGCTTGGATGCCCTCGATGCCGCTCTAAAACCTAGTCTGGACATCGATATAGTCACTGGAGGGGTACAGAAGGCCCAAGTCATCGAGATTTGGGGACCTCCCGGCGTCGGAAAGACTGCCTTTGGGTGAGTTGGCCGTTCGCATCGAAGCAAAGCAAGCGACCTCCTGTTCTGACTGATACCATGTAGTGTACAACTTGCAACCAACTGCCTGGGTGAGGGCAAAGGTGTCGTTTGGGTAGGTAGGTCCGTTTATGCAGCTCTTGGACACCTAATCTTTGGGCTTGCTAACCATTCGCCTTGACTTCCCGACACAGATGGATTTCACCGAGTCCCGATTGAGCGCCTACGCTCTGTCCTCGGCTCCAAAGTAAAGAGGGATAAGCAAGGGGAACAGGAAGATGCGACAGTTGATGAGCGCCTCGATGCCCTCACGCACTACACATGCCCCAGTCTACCTCACTTGATTGCTCTCCTATGTCGACCAACGCCGAGCTGCGTACCGCAAAACACATCGCTTATCGTGGTCGATTCTTTATCAGCGTTGGTAAACCATGCCTTCCCAAGGACACCAGAGCAGAAGAAAGTAGTGGATAGTAAGGGGAACAAAGGTACGTTCTTTCCAACCCGCGAAGCATGACAATGGTCTGACAGTCTCCAAGTTCCATCTCTTTCCACGCGAAGGTTGCAAGTACTTCAATACATCATCGGTGCACTTCAGAAGCTTGCTGCTACGAGAGACGTAGCCATCGTTGTTCTCACACAATGCGCAACAAAGATGATGCAGGCAGAACGGGGAGCAACTCTTGTACCGGCTATAAACGCCAGCGTATGGGAGCAGGGAATCTCTACCAAACTTGTGTTATATCGCAATCTAGCGTTCAGTGATGCGAAGGTACAGGGCTTGCGTCTCGTTGGACTGCAAAAGCTCAACGGGAAAACTAGCGAAGCACCTGTCGACACTATCTGCGCCTTTGATATCGAAGAGGTAGGCCCAGTCCCCTCTCCAGTTACAAGTTTGCTCAGATGTTAACATGTCATATAACAGGGCGGCTTGGTTATAGTCGAATACGACTTTAGTGAACCGCTACCAAACCACTTGTCTACACCGAGCACGAAGCGAAAGCTGGGTGACACCTCCTTGGAGATAGCCGATAGCGACGATGAGGATTACGGTTGGCAGGAAGAGGACAACGAAGCCGTCCCGCCTCCGCCCTCGCAGTGGCAGGGGAGCGAAGACATCCTTCTTGTTCCAGAACCTGAAAGCGAGCAAGAAGATAAGGAGCAAGAAGAGGAGGAAGAGGAGGGATATCACGAAGCCGAAGATGCAGGTGATGATGCAGACGATGCCTTCAACACCACAGCGGACGAATCGCAGCTCTCCAGTAAGGTCTTTGGTCGTGATCGGGAGATTCAGGATTCACAAGCCGACTGGTGAGTCCGTCTTGATCACAGCTGAGCCGCACAATCAAACATTCACACCCACGGAACGGAGTCAAAGAATGCCGGTCACACTGGGTATCACTGGTATCACTGGTATCGTAACATGCACCCCTGAATGAACGCTACGCTGGTCTTACCGTTCCCCAGTTTCGATGGCATCTCTTCTTCTCCAGAGCGCTCCACCTCCAAGTTTCCCTCGGCCCCTCGCCGAGGTGGCGGCCCCCATTCTCTACATTCACCCGCCGATGATGGAGTAACAAGCAGGCTTCCCCTGACATGAGCTTCAAGCAAGGCTCATGCGATGGAGAGAGATATGGAGAAAATGCCGAGTGACAAGTTTGACAGAAACTCCGTGTCAAGAACCTTGATGGCCTCCTTGTGACCCTGTGCGTATGCTCCTTCCCAAAATCTTCTCCTTGTGTTTCCCCGTATCAATCGGGGTTGCTGGTGGGTGTTGCGGCCCCCACGGGGGGAAAATGGGAGGGACCAGGTTTGCGGCGAAATCTCGATTTGTTGCACCGACATCATCTCACTTTTGCAATCAAGCGATCGCATCAAAAACCAAAATTTTCCTTCCCACGATCGGTCAAGGTTCGTTCGTTTCGCTGGGATGATCAATCGATGCAAGTTCGGACCAACAAGCCAATTGATGGGTGTGGTGTCTCCCTCGGCCTTATGCCGGATCTCCTTCTGTGGTCCCTTCTTTTGGCCGAGCAAATCCCGACGTCCGTCATCGTCCAAGGCCTTTTGTAACTTTTTTCCTTTGTCGTGTGGCAATTGTACACTGCAATTGTACACTGCAATTGGCAAGTTCACGGTTGTCCGTCCCCATCCCCACATCCAAGTCACAAACCTCGGCATCATCTACCGATGCCACATTGAAAGGAGGCTCCGCAAATTCTCCGCGGGAAAACTGAAAGAGAAAAAAAAACTAAAAACTGGGCGTATCGGGGCCGGGGGACTCCTTGGCGTTTAAATCCACTTCTCTTTCCCACTTTGAATTGGCAAGCTCGAACAGAGAGCTAGGGCGGGCGCAGTCGGTAACGGGGGTATGGGGAGCTATGTCGGGGGTTTTCTGTTGGAATTGTCTCTCTTTAGAAGTTTTGCGGGCGGGCTGATTGTGGGCGGGCGTGTGGGATGAGGGGTGATGAGGGTTGAGAGCGAGATAATGCCAGGCTTGTTTGTTACCAGGGCCCCGTTACCACCTGCCAGGGACAAGGAGGAGGCAAAAACCCCAGGGGAAAATAGGGAAGAGTTCGTTGGACCCACTCTTCGTAACAATGATACAGAGTGATGGTTACGATACATGCTACTGATACCATACGTCACAAAATTTCAGGCACAAAGCGTACAGTCGCTCCAATCAGACGATACGGCACGGCACTGGAGTGGTACTGGTGGCTGTACGATACGATCCGTTGGCGATGCCGAAACACAGATTTGGTGTGCACCATCCGGAAGATTCCGTTCGCCGTCGCCAAACCCCAATACGAGAACCTTCACAAGCAAAACCAAAGACATATGTGCACGACGGACACGTGTTTACGTGATGCCCGTCGTAGTGTGCACTGAGAAATCATCGCCAATTGCCAAATGCCAAATGCCAGTTGCCCTTGGACCGCCCGCGCCGCCCACTACTGTACCTCAGATTTCACTGCCACTGCTGCCCACTGGTGAAGGGAGGTCCGTCTGAAACAGCGCGAGAGCGCGAGAGTAGCGAGACAGCGAGGCCAACAAGCGGTCCAGACCCGATCGGGTCCAAAAAGCAACTCTGCAAAGCAGCTGTGTTCACGAAGTCTAATAGGCCCGCCTAGCTATTCACCATCTCTCCAGCGGCCAGCCAGTTGCTGTGCTGGACATGTCTAACAAGCAACTTGTTCAGGGGCAATGCAACAACAACTGAATGCCCTGCAACTGCAAGCCAACGACTACTGCCAAGCAAACCGGCGTTAGGCAAACTGGTGCTGGTGCTGCGGCTGCTGGTTGGTGCATCGACGTCGACAACAACGAACTCAATTGCGACGGACGACGGTTGCAACAAAGGGAAACGCTTTTTGTTGGCGAGTTCCGTGTTATTTTCGTTTTCTCGTGGTCTTACCCGTATCCGTACTTTTACGGGGTTAAGGAAGGGTCTTGCACTGTACCGTGCGGCAGAGTGACACTGCAAGGCATCGCCCGATCTGATGTTGACTGAAACCATAGAATTTCTTGAACTTTTAACATCAGTGATGCTTCCGCAAAAGCACACGGCACGCTTCGACAACTGACAATCAAAGCAATCACCACCGGCATTGCACCGGTATCCATGGCTCAATGGCCCGTTCTGAGGTCCGGATTAAGCACGAAGGTGCCGCTGCGCTTCCGGGGAGGAGGAGGCTCATTCCGGTCACCGGTGACTGAAAAAGAGCTTCTCCTCTCCAAAAGGTTCGCTACTTTTACCCTCCAGGGAAGGACGTACAGTCGGCCTGACATTCGGCCTTCGTGTTCATATCCCAGAGTTGAGGAGGTGCGCAAGAATTCCATTCCCACATGAAAAATGGCATTAATGACGACGAAGGAGTGATGTTTGAAAACGGGGAAACTTTGACCTCGCCAAAGATAAGCGAAAGTCGAGAGTCGTAGTATTGTGTTGTGTTGTCGCACCTCCAACTCCTCCTAACGTACCTACCTTGATGTTTGCTTGCTTGCTTACCTTGCCTTCCATTCCATTGCACTTGCAGAGTTGCAGTCAATCAAGGTTGCAGGGCCGATCCGATCTGTATGTCGCTCGATGCGGCGGCCCTGTCCCGTTCTGTTTAACAGCCGTCTGTTATATGATAGGGGGTAGCATGATCTGTAGACCGTAGTGCTTGCTCCTGAACCCAATGCCCGAGAACGTTGACAACACAATATCTGGTTCGCAGTTAGGTATGTCGATACGGAATCCCAACCTGCGTCGAATCGAATGATCTCAACAACGGTTGGATCAGTAAGGTACTGCCCGGCCCCGGCCCGTATATGTCCCGTTCCGTTCAAGTATCCTATCTCAACAGCTCTCAGTTACCCGACGATGGCGGGATGAATGCATCAACCACGGAACCGAACGGTGAAGGGGGCGGGCGGCGGTGACACAGCGGCGCGGCTCGGCGGCTTAGCGGCTCAACCGGGACGGACGAACTTGAGCCTATGCTGTGGAACGCTCCTGGACAATCTCGATCTACTACCCACAAGGTAGCTAGATACATGGTTGCCACGGGCGAGAGAGTATACGAGACAATCAGGGCCAGCTGACGAGGATGTAGAAGGTCACAAAAGTAGTATAGCCTTCGGTGCGGCACTCAAGTGTCCGCACGGGAACGAAGGGAGGGTGTGAAGAGTCAGAACCTAGATAAAAAGTTTGTGTGAGTCGAGTTTTTGGGTGTTGGTGCCCAAGGGCGCACATACTATAGAATGTTTCGAAGCGGCGGTTCATGCGGCGTAACATTCCTCTTAAAACACGCAAAGATAGGGAGGTATGTAGAAGAGGTCCTCGTCTGTGGCTGCTTAACCACTGCCTCCTACACACGCAATGCCCATATCTTTGACTTCGATCACATACCTGCCATATTAATTTCACGCGGATTCTCAACATCAGTCAGGGTCCAGATTACAGTGCGTACCATCTTCCCTTCTTCAAACCTCAAAGTGTTTATAAATTACGTGCTTGGCAGGGTCCAACGTCCGAATCCCATCGACACTAAACAGCCACTTCAATGGACTCCCCGCTTCCGTTCATTCGAATGGTATCTTCACATGGGCGTTGTGACAAATTAACCCATCACATGTTTTTTTCAAGAAGAACCTCGTGGCCCGTATCAAGTGCTTGTCCCCGACAACACTCCGTATGAGTTGTTGTTGTTGTTGTTGTTGTTGTTGTTGTTGTTGTTGTTGTTGTTGTTGTTGTCGCGGACCCCTGTACTTTACCCCAAATTACCCCCAGCTTCTAGACTCCTCCGGAGTCTGGAGTCCCCGGATGCCCTAGGTCCACACTTTCATGGACTTGAGCCTCGAGCCGCGGCCCGGAAACGACACTACAAGACCGGGACTACTAGTGGTTACTAGTACCGGGACCAGGACTGTGACTGGGCACTGGGGCCGGGACTAGGGGATGAGATTGAGAGGTCGGGACCGGGAAATTTGTTATTAACCGTAGCCCGTAGCCCGTAGCCGCATTTGTTGTACATATCGTATCTCCAACTTTCGAACAAGGGGAAATGAAAGGTCAAGGGACTCGGTCGGTACCTGCCTAAATTGTTCTTTTTCTTCCTTTCACTGGTGGGGTAGCCGAGCTTCATCTCCAACCACCTACTCGAAGGCTCGATCGAGGAAGGAGCGAAGTAATGACCGAGGGTCAGGATGATACAGTTCGGTGGTTCGGTACGGTACGGCGATGAACACTCGTTGAAGCACCGGTCTGTCCTCAAAGGCAAGGAACGAATACATCATACCTTCCCTTCCAACATGGCCCAGGGTTTTGTGCAAATGAAGTTGCAGACCGGTCATGCAAGCATATTTCCCCGTGGGGTTGTACACTGAAATTCCATGTCTCGGTTGTTCGATGCAGTCGGCCATTTGTGGTTGATGGTCTGAAAGGCTTGTTGTTGTTGCTGTCGTTGGTTGATGGCACGGGTAGGGTAGACGGCCCAATAAACGAACGACCGAACCGATGTCGCGATCAGTAGAGGTACGTAGCATGTGCGTTGAGTTGAGTGGTTCATAGTTCTTGCAAAGTGTCGTTGTTGATTCACACGTGTTTGCGCAGCTGATGGACGCGGGGTTTGGTTATGTGGTTGGCTGGTGTTCGTCGGTGATAATGTAGATGTGTTGTTGACGCATGTGATGGAAAACGTCTGAAAACGAAAGGACGTTAGGTAAATACGATTACATGACAAGACGAAACAGAATGTATCAATGCTTCTTTACTTTGTCTCCTTTTGTAACAAAAAGGCAGGGTTTTTTTTCTTCCTGTATAGTGCAAAAATCTGATAATAACCGTTTTAACCGGAACTACCAAGGCCGAAACAAAATCGGCAAATATGGCCTGTCCAAAAAAAAAGGTAAAAATGGCCATTTTATCCTTGGACAGAAACCCCTACAAATTCCACTGTTTTTGCATGCGCTACGCCCTACAAGTGGGGCTCCCTGACTCTGTCTTCTGTCATTCCCCAAAATCAACAACACCATCAACACAACATTCAATATCCCAACCAGGGGTTTTGTTCGCTAGGGGTAAAGTTCTGACATTTCAGAATCGGGCCGTGCCTTGCGACACCTTCATCACACCCTCAAGTCTTGTAAGTTCCTGCCTATGACAGAGTTCGTCGGCCCATTCCAATTTCCGCCAGGCCCCCCTTCCGTGGAAGCTTCCCCCCACCAAACCTCAAACGATACCTCGAACGATGCTCATATCGAGGGCCCCACATGGTCACATCCCCGCGACTCCGAACGTCCCAGACTCCCAACGGTCTTGAACCGCAAACAAACATCGGATGATGGAGTGCGGGGAATGGGGACATGGTGGTCATGGAGGAGGAATCTGTGTAGTTTTGGCGAAGGCGGTCTGGGACTTTCTTTGCTCCTGTTGCTACTGCGAGCCTGCGGATGGCTTGGCTGGTTGATAATGCGAATTCAAGTGTTTTAAAACGGGAGATTGATTGTGCGTCTCCAAAAGCGCCGTATTCTTCGTCTTCCGGGATTCGTGACAATGCCAAAAGTGTCTTGTCCAAGCTTCCTGAATCAAGACGATACCGAAGCAGATCAGAGCGAGGGGGTTCTTTACCAAATTCGTGTACCACGCGGCGGCCTGCTGGAAGGAAGAGTAGGAATATAAGGCACGTTTTGGCTTTCGATCAGCACATACGACCGTACCCACTGGAAAACTCGGGATACCGTCCGCTCTCCCATAAACAAGCCAGCGATTAGTAGCTTATCTATGGGAGAGCGGACGGGATCCCGATTTTCTACCATCTATGGTCGTATGTGCTTTCCTAGATCGGTTCTAAGTTCTATATAGGTAGTTTGTTTGATAGGAGTGCTTTGGTTATGCGGAGGCAAATAGGTAATCGGGGAGAGTGAGGATGACATGATCGCCTTCTCACCACACACGCTGTCGCCTGGATGCTTCCACCTTGAATTCCTAATCAAGTCAGATCTCCTCCAAAAGTCTCAACTCGTTTGATTTGCCATTCCTCCGCTATGTATCATGTTAAACAAACTGGTGACGCCAGTCCGTCGGAGGAAAGCACTTGAAATGTGTTTCATCACCACCAAAAAAGAAGTACAAGGAGAATGAAGATAGCGAGTGAGGCTATTTCAGTGTTGCCGAATTGAGTCATCAATGCTACAAAGTATGAATGTACTAATGTCTGAATGTGCAACCGTGAAGTTCGAATCTGCAGTCCTTCTCACTGTCAGATAAGTCCATATCACAATGAACCCCAGTGCGCTGACGCTGGCGCCTGACAGCACCCACGTCATTCATAATTTGTGCGTAGTGCTCAAGTTCCGAAGAACAACTAGTGGTACCCAGCTTTGCTGCCTCTTTGACGGCAACGATTTATATCACGCGTTGGCGGCCGTGTCTACCGAAACATCCAACCCGGAAGTCGCTGGTCATTCTGTGAGCCAGGGACAAATTCTAGTCCAAGACACTCCGGGACCTTTGGCTCTGCTCCCCAAAAGACTAAACATAGCGTGTATCATTGCAAAATCGCTCCTTGAGCTCTTTCTCAGCCGGTGGTTTCCAGAAATCTGGTACAAGAATGACATCTAATTCTTTGTCGACGGGAATTAGCAGGTGGATTTGACGTTGCCTTTCCTCATTTCTAGAAATAACGGAAATGCTGCCCCGCGCGCACAGAGCTGTCGCGACCACCAAAAAGCTCTAGTGGCGCTTGGCACCTTGATTCATGGGCTTTGGTTCGGCCAGCCTCTTGAAGCGCAACGTTCGTGGAGAGCCAACTTTGGCCCGGACGGACGGGAAACCGAGTTTACCAAGTTCAACGCCGCAGCTGCGTGGCAAGAGACGATCGGTGCACATGACGGACCGATCATGCACAACATCACCCAGCGATGCATCTACGGTAACTTTGGGCCGACGTTGCTGAGTTTGGAAGACACTGAGCTGATCAAGGCGGTTTATGAGAACGTGGTGCTGAAGTTGCAGATGCTGTGCAAAGTATTTGATTGACAGATGAAATTGTAACTAGCGGTGTGGAAACTGAGGGTGGTAAGGAAAAATCATGACAAGAGTCCAGAGAACAAAACCAAGAATGACGTAACGCGAGGAAGACAGAAGAACAACCGAAGTAGGCTCATCACCGTCTTCCTCAATCCATCATTCTTCCCAACCACCTTAGATTTGAACTCCTAGAAAGAAACCAGATAACAACCGCCTGTATCGAGAGCCCAATGGAAAGGGGTTGTCGTTATATCACTGGTCGTTCTCAAGCAATCCTCTCTGTTGAGTTGCTCCTTGTGCTCCCCTCCCCCTTCCCCTGGACTTTCCAAGCCTATTTCCATCACCTGAACCGCCTTCGTCAAGTATTTTGCATCAATGACTCCATCGTGAAACCCCAAATTATTTAAAAGGGGCGGCTTTTTAATACGTCGTAACCATGTATGGCTGAAACTCAGGGCGCCTACCAAGCTTCGGCGTGTTTACAGCTCCGCTTCTTTTACTGAACCTGATCTTGCGCTGCTAATGCTCCCATGAATCTCAGTTTTTACATATTTTCCATGATCTCCTCTTTTTCCCTTGTCTCTCATTCTACTCCCAAATATTCTCCAGGCACCTTCGTGTGCGGTAGGCTTTATCATTGGTATTAACCCAGAATGCATCGTCTACATTGGATGCACCAATGAATCCGGCATAGATGAGAGTTCCTTTGAGTGCAACATCGTGCGGAAAGGTGCGCACATGGTTGTTATAATCAAATCCTAATCCCATTCTTGTTGCTAGATGTTGTGCAAACTTGCAGCCAAGTGGAGTAGATAACCAAACAGAGTCATACTCGTTGATGGCCTGTAGTGCCTGCCGGTATAGCATGTCGACGGGCTTATCATAGTCGAAGGGAAGATCGGAGGCGTCGTAAATAGAGATGCCGAGCAAGGCGTATATATAATCCCGAGGTTCTGTAGAAGCAAGTGCACTATCTGCTGAAATACGGATCCATTCTCTCAGTGGTCTTCGGGGGCCGTTCCGTCTTTGGAGATGTTTTTATGGAAGCCTTTTTGTGATGTTGATGCTGAAGTTCTTGAGGCTTCCGGGCCCCGCCACTCTTTGTTATTGCCGATGCAATAAGAACTTTCAAAGAAGACCAGGGTCTTTTTAAGGCCGGTATCTGTTATAGTTTTCGAGCCGCACCTGATAACTAGCGAACGCGCCAACTGTATTTCTTGCACTATCCACACCCGACGCCAGTACGATCGGTTGAACAGTGCAACAATCGAGTCTTTGGCTACATGGCCGAGATACGAATACCAGGCGTCAAAGAATGGACTGCCATGCTCCTGGAAGAAAGGTCTGTACTGGCTCAACACATTGAGAGTGTCCATAGCCATGTCGCTTTCGGCACTGGAAGGTCCCAGCCAGGAAATAACTAGCTCGGCCAGGCTGAAGATCTTGCCAATCATTTGCACTTGACGTGACTTCTCTCCGTAGCTGTTCCGTTGATTGATACAGATAGTGTCGATCCATAAGGCTTGGGTACTAGACCACTCATCAGAGGCTCGGATTTCCGTGAGCGCAGAATACAAATTTCTGCGGATACGTAATAGATGGCTTGTGTCAATGAGAATAATTGGGTCGTGTTCATTGTCCTACAGTCCCCACTCGTAGGAAAGTGCGTAGTAGTTTGGCCGGTCCTCAAGTCGCGAATGGGTTATTGTGCATGTGATCGGATCGTTAGCCATGGAGCAAGCTTCAAGAAATAGCAAGCGAATGGAGTCCTCTTGCTCAAAGGGCTTATAGATAGCCTCCGATCCGTAATTCAGCACATCACTCGTCAGGCCTCTCCAACAGATTTCCCCGTCGACTTGCTTCCGGTGGTTTGTAGCCGCATCATCAGAAGGAGAATTTTCGCCACTCATGGAGAGATTGCCCAATTGTCTGGTTTTGTAACTACTTTCAACAAGCCACTGCAGACAAAAGTAGGGAAACAGGCCATGTCCACGAGGAGGAAACAGAGAGACGTCGAATGTGTTGGATCCGGCCAAGGCTTGGAAAGAAGCTGCCGCTCCAGGGGATGATGATGAGGTGTAGGCTGAGAGTTTGAGGTACCTTCGACAGCAGGGTTAACCTCAAGTTTCCTCCCATGGAGAAAGATGGATTTAGATTGAGGCGAGACAGTACTGAGCCGCCTTGACGTCCAAAAGTATACTTCACTTTTCATGCAACTTAACTCTTCGGGTGGAAGAGCAGGTAAAGTGACGTCGAATAAACTCCCTTTAAGGAGAATCTGATAAACCAGACGCTGGTTGAAACAAGAGCTTGGAGCCGGAGACTGATGACTGGAGCTGGTATTAGGAGCGAGGGATATTGTCAGTTCTATTCCGGCGAAGAAGATTTGTAGCGAAGGTGTGTTTGAAAGAAGCGCCTGCTTGATGACCGCAAAGGAAATCAGAAAATCCGGCTCTGAGGACATGCTTTATGGCGGGTTTGGCTGGATGATGTTGAGTTTTCTTTTGGTCAGGAGCCCTTGAAAAGGTTCGGAAAGAGTTTTTGGGTTTGAAGGAAGAAGAAAGATGTTATAGGTACGAGCTGCCAGCGTGGACACTGCGTGGCTTGCGAAGGTAAGAAAAGCCAGGCAGCCGACAATCGCTTGCATAGCCTACCACACCCTTCCAGAGCTTGTCTCCGCCAGTAGGAGGAGCGTCCACGGCAAAATAGGATAGGAACCCTCCTCGGGGAACCTATGAAAGTCAACGTGGCTGTGGCTGTTGCCGTTATTCGCTAGCATCGCGCATTATCTTCAGCCCTACCGCTGTGCTCGCCCCCAACAAAACGACAAAATCCGTGACGGCATTGGGGAAACCCAGCTGAGGCTTAGAAAGCCACCTTATTTCGGTACACTTGGTTCAGATTAATCACACCGTTCGTATTTGTCAGGTCTCGACTCGGGCAACTGCAAAAGCTGGCCGGAGGCTTTCGGGTGGCCTCTCAGCAAGCCCGAATTCTGGAATCGAGACATGTGCGATATAGCGCCGCAAGAAGCCTGGCATTGTCACGAAATCGTGGGCAATATACTGAAGTAGGCCATGCTGGGACTGGCACCTATGTCTTCGGGGTTATTCGTATCCTGTACTCAGGCCTTGACCGGCGCCGTCACGCATCATTCTTGATTGGGCACTAATCGTGGCTGTTGTATTGGGATCCATCCCGCTCTCTTATGAGTTGAACCACAGATCGCTTTGAACCTCAGTAATCGAGCTGACGGCGACGAGTGAATTCCAGGCCTCTCCTCCTTCTCATCGACCTTCCCTTCCGCGTTGAATCTCGCCTCCATCTTCGGCAGGCGTCAACTTCGTCCACCACTCTTTCACTGGCATGATGAGATCCCATTCATCTTTTGCAATGCCATTTCTTCCCGGAACCAACTTGACCAAGGAGTTCACGCCGGTAATATCCAGATCATAGTCGAATTCGGTGCCCATTTTACTCGCAAGTCTCTGTGCGAGAGTCGCATGCGAACCCCAGCTGAACTTCCAAGTCTCGGTGAAAAAGCTCAGCCTAAGGATGGGAAGCGCCTCCCTATACACCATCTGTACCGGCTTCTGGTAGTCCACGACGATCTGGCCTATTTGGTCATCCGTAGAGACAGAGATCAACGCAAAGATGTAGTCTCGGGGCTCTGTGGACTGGAAGGAGCCTTCGAGGCAGATCTCGACCAACTGGCCTAAGCGAGCGCATCGGGTATCCTGCGCTTTGAGATGCTTGTACGGAATGTTCTTTCGAAGGTTAAAATCGAGGATATCCATGAGCTCTTGTTGCCGTGCTTTGCCGTGTTCTTTGTCGAAACCCATGAGCGTAAGACTGCTCATCATATCGAACGCATCTCGGAGACGGTCGCCATGAATCCAGTCGCGTCCGCATAGCACGGCGAAATTCTGAGCTAACCATATTTCCTGTAAAATCCATACTCTGCGCCAGTAGGATCGTGTGCAAAGGGCGACGATGGATCTTTTCACCGCACCCAAGCAATAGCAATGCAATCCTTCCGCAAAAGTGGGCGTGTTGTCCCAGGGTGCCCGCTTGTGGTCTTTTCCAACTGCGTAGTCGTCGAGAATATTGATGGCAATGTTGCTGCCATTCCCAGGAACTCCTAACCAAGCTACAGCCAGCATGGCCTGGCTGAAGATGGCGCCCATCAGACGCACTTGGTTCGGTTTCTCGCCATAGGGGTTCTGTTGATTGATGCAAATAGCGTCAACCCAGAAGGGTAAGTGGGTATCACAGTAATCAGCATCCGTTCGCCACGCTCGGATTTCTTTCAAAGCATCGTACAGGTTCCTCCTGATCCGTAGAGTTGAGCAGCCGTTGACCAGAATGAAGGTATCAGGCGCGTCGTCTGGTGGTCCCCATTCATAGGATAATGCTACGAATGGTGGCCCATCTCTGAGTCGGGCTTGGACCATGGTGATCTCGATCGGCTTGTCAGCTTCATGGTGGTGCGGTGGAGCGGGCGCGAAATACAGCAAAACGGATGGAATCCTCGTGTTCAAGTGGCTGATACATCTGGCTTCGCTGATGGCTCAGCATCGTGGGAAGAGGTTCAGAGCTCGGGTGTATCGACGTGAGCTGGTTTCGCTTCGATGCATTTCGAGAAACAAGAGAGTGCCAGGTCCTGAAAAAACAGGAAGTAAAAGGGTCGTGGTAGTTTACCAAGCAACGTGGGCAACCAATGGTCTGCTCGGGTAGTCCAATGAACGTTGCGGGGTGCGGGGGGCCGGGGCCTTGCAAGAGCTCATCGTGTCGTTGCATACGTAGAACTCCGGTGTGAAACTATTCAGGATGGGAATACCGATGCTACTCCGTTGTCGGACTCATTGCCATCGTTTTTGCGCATCGTGGAGTCGACATGCGATTGCGACAACAGACAAAAGGTCAGCAATACGTTAAACCAACAGGTGTCGGATGTCGTACCTGGGAGGACGTGGTGTTTTAATTCGGATCAGAGGTTCAGTTCCGATGTTTTTGATATTGCAGGATAAAAGCCGAAGGAAGATTCGGATGCAAGAAGGTTGGAGACGGACTGGCTGCCCCTCATCCCCGGCCGCCTGTCATCCCCTCAACGCATCTTCCACCGTGTCTTCCAAATGAACATGTTCACCGACATTTCGGTGGAAAGAACACCCCATGGATCTTGCGCATTCAGAACACTGGATCCAGAAAATGTTGACTCTCAAGGACCTATGAATCGCAACACCTCCATTGGTCGATGACCGGGGCACAGAAAGGACCAAAAATAGTAGAAGTGATCACTGCACAACAGAAAAAAGAACGAGGGCACGAAGTGATCCAAATAAAACAAAACCCGAAAAAATCGCCAAAAAAGAAATGCTGTATGATCCGACTGAGGCTCGATCTCAGGACCTTCAGTGTGTTAGACTGACGTGATAACCAACTACACCATCGGACCAGCTGTTGTTGTTGGAGAGTTATGCTGGAAGTGGATCCTATAACGTAGGATTAATGCGCAAGTCAGTTCCCCAGTTACATCAGTAGTCTTTGGCAGGGCATCACGGAGCATCACCACCCACCACATGTGAATGGGAAGAACATTCACCGTCGCAAATAAGAAAGAACCGGCGTGTTTTTGTGGTTGTCGGGTTCGATTAGAGGTGCTCCCGGGCTTCACTTACCCAGCTCCCTAAGCTATGCGATTCCACACCCAGTCCTTCACGCCTGTCCTCTATCCGATTGATGCCATAAACCAGCGTCACCCATCCAAAGAAGTTCCTCGTGATACTCTAAACATTCATTGACCATTACACTACAAATACTGATTTTTACTTTGTCACTAACATATCCACCGTAAAGCTCATCCGCTCACTCATCGCATCGCATCTTTCTTCCCTTCTCTCGTCTGTCTCATAACTCACTTCTCTTCGACCATCACGTACGCGCACCCCATTTCCCCTTCACCTATTTTTCTAATGCTCAGCTCCCAAGATAAGCCCTAATAGCACCCTGCAACCTCCCGGCGCCCTCGCCCACCATCTGCGTAAGGTTCTCCAAATCGTCGCTAGCAGTGATACCGAACTTGCGAATGAAGTCCTTGGCCGCAGACTCGAGGTCACCGTAGTCTTCGACAGAGGCATCCTCCTCGGGGCGGCCAAAGTAGGCGTTGGAAGAGATGGCTTGGGCGCCCTCAAAGCCTTGCAGGCGAGCTTTGGTCTCGGCCTTGATGGAGGGGTCGAAATTGCCCTTGTTGAAGAACTCGTCCGAGGAAATGGCCTTTTGGTTGGCGAACTTGTTGCGGGCGTATTGTTCTTCGTCGGCTGTTTCGTCTGTTAGTTAGCATTTGCACGAGGAGGAGACAAAGGGGGAAAGAGAGGGAGAACACATACCATCACTAGCCTTAATAGGCCCAACACTTCCAAACCCACCCGCATTCTTCTTTGCCGCCGCTGGGCTTGCAGCACCAGCACCACCGGCCTTACCCACCATACCGAAACCCAGCTTCCTAACACCCATACCCAGCCTTTCCACCTCAGCAGCCGACTTCTCCTGCGCCGCCGACCTCGAACTGCTAACCGGCGCCGCAGCGGGGGTAATGATATTGCTGGCCTTGGTCTCGGTCTTCTTCGCTGCCGTCTTAGACTCCTCTTCCGCCTCAGGATCATAACCCAGCTTCGCGATGCGCTCCGCCTCTTCCTTGGCCTTCTTCTCCGCCTCGTCGAAATCGATCAGATCCGCCGAGATCTTCTTGACGCCCAGCTTAGCCGCGGGCTTCTTGGCGCCCAGGATGCCGCCGGCCTTGCGCGGGCCGCCGGTGGTGGTGGTGCCTGGTGTGGTTTTCCTTAGGGCTGCGGATGTGGTGATGCGGCTGGCGGCGGGAGCGGCAGGAGTGGGAGCATCGGAGTCGGTCTTGGAGAGGGGCGAGGCAGTGCGCTGGATGTCCTTGCCGTTGCCGAGGAGCGGGGAGGCGGTGCGGCCGATGACGGGGGGCGTAGAGGTGCGCGAGATGGGAGGTGTCGGCTTCTTGATGGCGGGCTTGTCCCACGAGGAAAAGAAGTCGTCGTCGGGCTCGCCGGCCGGGGTGTTGCTTCCTGCGGCGTCGTCGCCGTCCGTGATGACTACTTCTTCGGGGTACCTATACCGTAGGCAAACAGCGTGTCAGCAATTCCCTTCCTGTAACGTGTAATAATACAGTTTGTGTAACTGAGGGGCAGGGAAGGTGTGGCATACTCGCGAGCGTCCCTAGCAGCCCTCTTCTTGAGTTCCTCCTTGTACTTGGTCGCGGCGGCAGATTGGTACTTGGTCTTGGGATCCTTGCTGTTCAAGGCGGCGGAACCACCGTTTTGCTGGAAGAACTTGGTTGCCGACTCATTACCGCCCACCTTCATGATCCGTAGCTGGTCCCATTGCCACTCTGTTGACACACAATATTCGTGTTAGCGGGCGAGGGGTCGCGTTGTGAAGGGGTAGAGATCGAGAGTTTAACATACGGTCGAGGTTAGTAGACCGCACAAAGGAAATATGGACGCCGAGGTTGCGGTGGTTGGCGGAGCAGTCGAGGCAGAGGTAGATGCCAAAGGGGACCGATGTCCATGTTGGGTTCTTTTGGCCGCAGTCGAAGCAGATCTGTTGGCGGGAAGCAGCGGTTAGCTCTCTGGTCTGGATGTCTGGGATCACTGCTTGCGTGGGCGCATACCTTGTTGGCTGGCTTCGCCTTGAGCTTCTCAAAGAGCTTGAGCGACTGCTGCTTTGTCGCGAGACCGCTCATCTTGTCGGTTGAGTCCGGTGATGGTTCGGAGTATGTCTGTCGCTTGGCAGGGTTCGTGATGTGTCACTAGTTCTCGACTTGTCGTTGTTGTGTTGTTGACTGACCCCTTTGCTCGGTTAGGTTGTCAGGGTCGAAACGTATGCTGCCGTCAGGGGAAAAAAAGGTTGAAAAAAGGGGCAGAAAGTTGAACAAGGGCGGCGTTGTAGGTTTCCGGCTTGTTACAAGTTGTCAATTATCCGAGTGTTGTCATTCGCCCGCACCGCTGCGCCGCCGTTCATTCAGGAGACGGGAGCCCCAGCGGAGAGAGCCGGGCTGCCTGGCAACTGGAACGTCCACTGGGGCTTCTTTCCCCACTGGACGCTGTCAGGGCAGGGGCCACATTTCCTTGTGTTCGCGCCCAGACGCTTGCTCGCCCTTCCATGTGGCATCTTGGCGCCTTGGCGCATCCTAACCCCATTTCAGCCTAGGTACATAGTACGTACATAGCACGATACGGACTCCACCCCTCGCCCGACGGACCTCTGCCGGAAAAGATGCCGTGCCGGCAATAGGGCAACAGCACGGGAGCTAAAGCTTCATCCAACCGCCGCTCACCCCCAGCTGCGGATATCTCATCCAAGCTCTCATACGACTATACGGCTGAAACATTGCCGTCGAAATATGGGTGTTGTCTTGAAGTTGAAACCTCCATGATGAAAATGCTCACTACTTCGGCTGCTGGCGTGAGGCTTGTGGCCCGTCAAACATCAACCATTCTTACAGCTTCATCGAGAGCTCCGACAGCTAGCGCCATCTTCGTCTCATCCCGCCGACAGTATGCGACTACTCAACAGCAGCAGGAAACCTCAAAGAGGAGAGCCGTGACACCATTCAACGACGACGGCCATGTCCCTTGGGCTCAGCTTTCGGTCGGTGAAAAAGCCGGGCGCGCCGTCCAGCAATCGTTCAACTTTGGTTTGGTGATTTTGGGTGTTGTCATGACCGTATGTTTCCCCGTCTCATCTTACACGCTCTACCTTATCTCGTGATGCATACTAACCCCTAAAAACAGGGAGGAATCGCCTACCTCCTCTTCACGGACGTGCTCTCGCCCGAGTCCAAAACCGCCTACTTCAACCGGGCCGTCGACCGGATCCGCGCCGACCCTCGCATCGTCGGCCTTCTTTCGCCCGGCGACCCGAGGAAGATCGCTGCTCACGGTGAGGAGACGAATAACAAGTGGCGTCGGGCGCGGCCGCTTGCCGCAACGGTCGAGAAGGACCGCCACGGTGTGGAGCATATGAAGATGCATTTTCACGTATGTTTTCCTTCTTCTTTCCCTTCTTCCCCTTCATTGTTAAGAAGTGGTTTTGATGAGATGACGAGGCTAACATTGGCGAAAACAGATCGAGGGACCAAGAGGTTCAGGGGTCGTCGGAATTCATCTGACCAAGCAACCGGGACACTGGGAGCATGAGTACCAGACTTTTTACGTGGATATTAGGGGCCATCAAAGAATTTACTTGGAGAATAAGGAGGTGGATAAGGCGGCTGCGAAGAAGGGAGGGAACAAGGAGTTCAAGTTCTTGGGTGTCAGGTGGAACTGAGAAGTTCCCGTTCGCTTGTATGAGTACTGTATGAGGCTCTTGGTCATTTTTGGCAAAGGCGAACTACGATGCAGTTGATTGTATGTCTGCCGGTTGGTCTTGTTTCTTTGACGGAAGACGAAGGCATTTGTTATATTAAGGACGTTTGAATTAGGCGTCGTGGAGATTCGGCATCTCACGATTCACGGACAGGGAAATGAGATCAACGATGCGAATTCGAGGACTGTTCATTATTTGCCCTTGCCGCTTCTACGGATAAAACGACCGCAGTCGGTTGTACCACAACTATACTAGTAGCTTTGTCCTGCCTTTCTCAGTTTCTGAAATGAGAAAACATTCCGAGTGACTCTAAACCCCTTAATTTCCATCACCTTCCAAGTCTTCATGAGACAAATCCAGCGCACCAGTCATAAGACCCGTATTGTAGTAATATTCAAATACAATAATCCTTTCCTTTCTCGCCACTCTGGCATGCATGCTGCCGGACAAAAAGTGACCTAAGCGCCGCCCCGTCATATAAACAAACCCAAACGCCTCGGGTTAATGATGTGACCAAGGAATCACCAATAATGCTACACCAGAAACCAATCAAAGTTTCCTTTTCGCTTCCTGAACAACAACTTTTCACTTGCGCCCTTCCATCTTTTTGGTCCCCCTTTTCGGTGAGTAGCCATTACTTCCAGCCCAACAGTTTTCTCGCGACTTGTTTCTTGTCGCTACCGTGGGCAAGATCTTGGTGAAAATCGGGGTCCATCTGACTCAGGAAATAATGGCAGTCGTAATCATATGCGCGCCATTGATCCGAGAGAGATTCCTGTCGGCTCTTTTTCTCGACAACTCCATCCACAACCATAATAAGTTGGACCGTTTCCCCCTTTGGTGAAGGAGCCCATTTGGACAACTTCGGAGCGATCAGTTAGATGGCTCTTGGCCCTCCATTTTGGAAATCCACTTGGACATCTGCGAGTACTTCTCCTCGAACGTCTTCTGGAGTCGCTCACAGGCCTGCCACATTGGACTCTTCTTTTGCCAGTAGGTGTAGCAGTTGTTGAAAATCTGGTTCATGTCGGCGAGGAACTCGTTCTCGTCGGCATATTCGTTGCGGTCCATCTTGGCCCTCATCGTCTGTAGGTCCATGGGCTTGTTCACCTTATCGAAGTAGTCGGGCACACCGTCGGATTCGGGGTTAACGGGATCGCGGAAGGGGCCAACAAGGCGGGTCCAGAAGCCTGTGGGTAAAGTAGGATCAGTAAATATGGTCATGCTGTTTGAACAACATGGAAGAGATAATTACCTGGGCCGCTAAGCATCCTTGTAAGAAGGTCGTCGCAGAACGCCAGCTTCTTCGAGGTGGTAAGTTCAACCTCTCCATTAGCCACGTTGTACTTCCTCTTGTAACCGGCCTTTGGGCCAGTAGTGCTGGGCCTACCGGGTCCTTTGCGGCCGGTAGGTGTCGCCTTGGCACCGTTGGCACCAGCATCAGAGTATCTCGCCTTCTTAGCAGGACGCACCTGCTCGCCATCACTATTGGCGACGGCATCGTGCCAGCCTTGATGAGCAGAGTTGGCGGCTTCCTGGGATACGGGCGGGGTAGGGGTTGGTGCCGGGGCCGGAGTCGCGTCCAATGAGCTCATAGCCACTACAAGCTCACTCAAAACTTCCTTGGGGAGCGAATTGGCGAACTCTGCACGATCCTCGGAGGCCCGCATGTATTCTGCAGCCCAGGAAAGCAAGAGCTTCCGGATGGAGGAGCCCTCGGGGGTTTCGTTCCAGACCTGGACAAGAAGAACGGTGGCGGGAATCGAGTTGGTAAGTCGGCGGAATTCGATCATGGCATCAATCGTGGCATCGCAGAGGCCGTCGATGCCCAAGCTGTGTCCAAGTTTCCAAACGCCAATGAGAACCTCGTAGTCGGGAGGTGTGTCAGCGTAAACATGGCCAGTGTAAAGATACTGCTGGGTATGACCGAAGACATCGACCGATGTATCGCGGAGCTCAACCACGTCCTCGACTGACTCGTTGTTTGTCGCCTTATCTTGGAAATAGCGCCTGTAAAAGGAGGACTTGGCACAGAGAAAGTCCTTCTGGATACCGAAAGGCATGCCCTCGGGGCCGACCATGATGATGACGAAAAGAGCATGTGGTTGACTGGAGCCAAGATAAACGTTAGTGTCCGCTTCACGATGGGTCTGGTTCGAGTCGACTCACAGCCACGAAAATGGAGGCTCATCGGCGGATTCAACTGGCGAATGGGATCCTTCTTGTTTCACAGCTTCGGCGGCGCCGGCTGCCTCGTTTTCGGCTTCTGTAGTGGCCTTATCATTATGGCCATCGTGTGTCTCGTCAACTTTCGCGTTGTCTTCAACGCCGTTTACATCGTCAGATGTACTGTTGAGGGCGCCATTCAATCCAGAGATATTCTCTGAAGAAGACAGTCAGTACCTGAAGCTGGACAACCAAAAGCAGCCTTTGTAGTTGACAGAAAATGAGACAAAGACCTAACATCCTGACCAGTGCAAGACGAAGCAGTGAGCTTGAAGGCGGGGAAAGTCTTACCAAGAACAGACCTAGCAAGATCTTGACAGGCGGTGGATGAGGCACTCATGTCTGTCGTATTCCCCTGAAGAGAGGAAGTTGTAGGTCTTGATTAAATTCGGGGACTGGATATGCCCGCAAGTCGGACGGTGAAAGATCGAGATCAGGCCTAATCAAGGGCGTGGTCCCTCTCAGATGATAGAATGGTAGGGTGCGTGGGTTGGGTTTAAATGAGCCCGGGGCATCGGCGTGTTGATGCTTTGTGTCCCAAATTCGTGTTGTAATGATGGTTGATGAAATTGGTTGATGGAAGAACAGAAAAGAGTTGAACGGGTTTAAGAAGTCGACAATCGAAATTCGCGAGCATCAACTCAAGTGACAGTGCAGTGAATGTAAGAGCGCGGACCTGAGCTTGAACCCTGAGCTCTCGCAGAAGTGAAAGCTCAAAGTGTTGTAGGCCACATTGACCAATCGTGTCTCGTGTTTGTGCCCCACCCCAGATTATGGCAGTATGGTCAGTGCTTTCCGTGCTCCCTTTCCTGATGAATCTCGTAGTGCACAGATCACAATGCCCTGCCAACCGCTCTCCAATTTGGCGATAACCTTCGACCTCGACCGATTCCATCACTTCACCCGCCGGCTGTGTCGCCCGTTCACCCCTCAACCTCGCCTTCTTCACCTCTCTTTCTTCCACTTTCATTCCGTTTGTTTGCTGCTCAGCTTCTGTGGCTGATACGCGCATGACCCGTCTCTCACTATTTTCTCTTCACTTTTATCCTTCAATCCTGCAAATTACTGGAGCATGTTGGCCAAACAAGCCGCCCGCGCTTTGCAATGACGCAGCACAGGCAACAGTGTTCCGCCCCACAGTGCTCCCTCTCTCCAATTGTCCCGCCGGCACTCCCTCAACAACGCCAACTCCCAATCTACCCATTCCCCTTCTTTTTTGCGATCTCAAGGCCCTTTTCATCATTAAGTATTAAAACATCAACTTTTTTGAGAATTCAGGCTGACTCGTCAACATTGCAGGACACTTGTCGCTTCGTGAAGTGTCAGGCACCCCTCAATCTGCGGACAGTCGCCATCACCGCACAAGCTGCGTCAGGACCTGGCAGGCTCAGCTCATCATTCTGTAAACCTACCGCGACTAGTTTTCTGTTTTGATCCTTGATCCCTTTCGACCTTCACCAAGAGCTTTCTACTGCGACAGCAAGCTCATCAGAAATGCCGGCCTTTGTACTGCACCTTGACCTTGTCCGCATCACCGTTCGGACTTCAACATCACCACTCCCGCCGGCTAGTTGACAACCCAAACGCCGCGATTGAAAAGCCGAACTTCAGGACGACTATTCAACAGCAAGGT